TGTTTTCTTCCGATACGGATTAGAGTACATATTCGTCTATGATGGTTTAACGCCATATATCATATTAACGAATGATCTAGTATCTGTTCACGTTAATTACAGATGCTATAGCATCATTGATCCTCAACGTGGTACTCTATACTCAAGTGGAATGTACAAGGGAGAACATAAAAGTGGCAGAAAATTAAGTTCAGTCACAAACGATCGTATTTTCTTTGCTAAACAACATTCTAAGGGCCTTCAGCTTTATGCAGAATTTCATTCTCTACATTTTCTCTCATATGTACCATCTCAGAAAAATGCTTGCTGCCCGAGATCAACGCGATTTTCTGTTTAGCAAAGAAAGTTGAAGCTTTTTCGTGAATGAATTGCACAAAACCCTGATGCGTAGTTGAAAAATACCAAAAATCAGCATTTCCGAGGGTTTTTATATTTGCCACTATACGAAACGCATTTCGGTTTTGCAGAGTGCAAAAAACTCCTCCAAATATTGCTTCAAATACGGTCAGTCGTATTTTGAAATACTATAGGGGGTTTTCGAAATTAAGCACAAAATCCACAATATACGTATAACAAACCCTTATCCGTTTTTGCATTTATTCTGAATGCAAAATGGAAATGCGTCTGGTATAGTTGCAAATGCAGAAATCCTTTTTCGTTTTGTAATATACCTTTATTTTAGAGTGTATGCAGAGATTTTGGTTTTCAAAAATTAGACCATCAACATCTTTTTGTCAGATCTGATTAAGAATGTTTTTGCTTTTGCTTTTTACATCATATGCGACAGGTTCAGAGCCGGAACCAGTCCGGAAAACCGGTATCGGTCCGGTCGGACAGGACGGGACCACTTGAAAAAGTCAACCGGTCTGATAGAGACCGGTATTACACCGGTTGAAACTTTTGAAACATCTGTTCTTTTTATTTTTGTTTTTTTTTAGTTTTTTGTTAAAAAAACTAAAACTTCACATCGTTTTCTGTCAGAATAAATAAGACGATGCTCAAAACATATTATTTTTATCACTTGTCTTAAGGGCCCCCCCTCAGAAATAGTGATTTTCGGTCAAAAAATCGATTTTGAGATA